TTTCCCACTGTACTGGTGGGGACAGGTGTGGTGGGAGGGCTCACTCACCCAGGGGCTTGTGCTTTCGCTGTGCTGGTGGGCTAACTTGCAGAATCCCTAGGATGCCTTGGCAAGCAGTCATCTTTGTGCTACAGCTGCAGCTGACCCTGCTGTGCCTCCACACCACGTGGAGCAGACCCCAGTAAGGCACTGGAGACATCTGAATGCTGCATGAACCTACCGGGCTTCCTTTTTCTCCTGGAGGTCCTGGGGGTCCACTGCGACCAGGCCGGCCAGGATCTCCCTGAAACAGCCAGAGAACAATGGTCATTACCTGCATCATGCTGCTCTGCACCTCTGCTGTGTCCCAAGGAGCAGGGGCAGCGAGGCTCTTCTCTCTGCTCCTGTGTCTGGTGCTGGGATCCAGGCCCCAGGCAGACACAGCCTATGGACTCCATGAGTAGCAAAGGATTTAAGAGCAAACACAGTCAGTGCTGTTTAGCTGTCCCCACTCCCACACTCTGCTCGCTGTTCAGAGTAATTGTACCTTTATGCCTTCATCTCCTCTTTCACCCTGGTCTCCTGCATCTCCTGGGTAGCCATCGGGGCCCTAGGGAGGGAAAGGACAAAGAACTACACATTTTGCAGTGGCAACCATATGCACTTACCCTGCAGAATATATCAACTGGCTTAGAAAGTTGCTCTAGAGAGTAAAATAGTTGTTGCTTGTTCCTAGTGAAAGGAGCAGCTCCCCCGCCCTGTGTCGGACAGTGGGGGATCCCGGCTTACTTGCCCATGGAAAGGAGTCACAGGCTGTGCTCCCCATTCTGGGGATCCTAGGCCTGGGATCAGATCATGCATTCAGTTGGAAAATGGGCCAGTAACCTCCCGTTGGCCACATACCTCCGCATGTGCAACTCATTCAGTAGCTAAAGTTGGGGTGACACATGTGATGCACCTAGAGAAAGAGTAAAGCATTCCTACCTTGTCACCGGGGTCTCCCTTGCAGCCTGGAGGTCCGATTCTCCCCAGCTTGCCCTAGAGAGGTAGCATTCAAAAGAAAAAGACAGAGAAGCTGTAGGTGTCTGAAGGGAAAACACATCTTTTCCTGTTAACAGTTACTAATTCTTAACAATATCTGCTGACCGTACCTGTGGTCATTTAGAGAATAAATAGCAAGTGTATTCCCTAAAGAGGAGAGTGGTGTGCAGAGACAGATGGAGGGGGAGAAAGTAGTCAAAACACCCTGTGTGTAGCACAGGTGTCAGTGGGAATCCAAGCACGCTCATCCCGTGCACATGCTCTGGCTGGTGGACATATCCCTCGAGGGTGGATTTGGCAGTCACTCACGTCCATGGTTGTGCGGGTCCTCCGTTGTGCATCCCGCATCAGAGTGGCCCCGGTTCACAGGGACCGCGCTACGTGACCGATCCTTGCTCTGTGCCCCAGAACGTCTCAGACACCTCACCCCAGCTAGAGAGCAGTGGTGACTGAAGGACTTTTGTGTTTTAGAGCTTCAGCAGGCATTTTAGGAGTGGGAAGAAGAGTCGGTGTTATCTCACAGGTGTACTTGGCTGGGCATACGAGAAAGTGCAGAGCAAAACCAGTGTGTGCTGGCCAGCAGCCAAAGCCATCCGACATCATCTCAAATTAGGCTATTCCGCTGCAGTACACACCAAAGGGAGGTCATGGCCCTTTACACTCATCATAGAGGCGACAGAGAATTTCAGGGGCTTTGTTACAAGGTACTTGAACCTGACTTTGGGACTTTAATATTAAGAACAAGCAGTAGCTTAGAGATGAAATTTCAGATACTGTGACGAGCTGCCTTGAAAAACAAATTTCTGAAAAACTTTCTGTGTACGTGTCCTGCAGAGGTCGCCAACACTCAAGATGAGATAGCTACACCCAGGCTGTCCGGCCATATCTCCTCCTCCAGCACAGGACAGCCCCGGTTATGCATCAAGTTCCTGCAGAGAGCTTGCTGGAGGGGGGATAGCACTTCTGTGTCCTGGTTTAATTCACCTCCAGCTAGCTCACGTATTTCTACAGGACATGCAGAATAATGTGCAAATAAGTTCATAGAAACCTCAGTCAGAACAAAAAGCTAGATTGTGGGATGGGATGGGAGAAAAAAAGCAGCCTGTGGAGACAAGGGTGGGTAAAGAAATGAAAGAGCAGCAGGGATGTTACAGGGTACTCCCAAGTGAGGTTACCTTCTGTCCGTCGGTGCCGTTCCTGCCCGCCAAACCAGCAGCACCCTGGGATCAAGGGGAAGAAAAGAGGGATCAGTGTTCGGTTTACACATACACAAAGGGTGCTTGGTAGCTGGAACAACATGCAAGTTAGAAGATGTCCTTTCTTACCCTCCGTCCATCGGATCCAATCTCGCCCTGGGGGAACAAGAGGACAGGAGTCACCCATTCTGCCTACACCACCATCGTAAAAACATGACCGCTTCACAACGCCATGAGCAATGCCTGAAGGAGGAGACAATCTTTGGGATGCCCCAGGAAATCCCTGCCTATAGATTGTTATTCTTCCCATTACAGCTAAACTCTTCCTCTTGGCAACAGAAAGGTTCCACTCTCACCTCCCCAAGTGCCCAGACATGTCAAATGGTCTCTTGTTTCTCACCTTCTCTCCTTTCAGCCCTGGGACACCCTAGACAAAAAGAAAAGAAGAAAAACCCTGTTAGAGCCTGGGGATCAGCAGGGGTGGAGGCAGCAGAGTGCCTGGGATCTTGTGAGGGAAACGGGCAGGTGAGGGGGCAAAGTAGAGGTCCCTCTGCTTTACCAAAAAATCAGTGAATGCAAAGAGCTCGGTCCCCAGCTATGGGATTCTTACCTTGGGACCAGGGTATCCAATCGGACCTTCAATACCTGGGTCACCCTGAAGGGAAGAAGACACGGAGAGTTATTTCGAGCATGGCAGAGATGTGGCCTCAGCTAACGCAGGGACTGACGGCTGCAGCAGCAGAGGACGTTCCATAACTTACCTGTCGTCCCTTCAGCCCAGGAGAGCCTGGCTCACCCATGTTCCCCTTTGCACCCTAAGGAAAGAAAAAAATAATGTAAGTCTGGGCTTGGTGCCGAATGTGAGAAAATGGCCATTTCTGGGGGCATCAGGCTCACTGCAGACCTGCTTTACTCTGGGCAAGTTGGGGAAAGGCTGTATGGGGAGGGGAGCACACACAGCTGGGGGCAGGAGGGTGGGACACCCTGCACAGGAGAGAGCTCTGCACTTGAGGGTGGGAGAATCGGGGACAGTCGGTGCCCTCAGGTTGTCCCCAGGTGCTGAAGGTGCCGGCTGTGGCTGGCACGGCCGATGCTCGGATGCCTCTTTGCGCTGCTGTCAATGCACCAGGCTCGGCACAGACATGAGGAGACACCGGTGCTGGCTATGTGCTCCATTCACTGCAGCACGGTAGTCTCCCAGGAGAGTTATTTCCCACCTGGGTGCTACATCTGTGAAGGCTGCTGCAGCTGAGGTGAGACCTAGAGCATCCCGCAGCGTCTGTGGCAGGCACAGGCATTACTCTCTTCCCACAGGTTAGGGTGACTTACCTTCTGCCCTCGGTATCCCTTGGGACCAGGTGGCCCTGCAATCTCCAGGCAGCTCATCTTGTAGCACTGAAACACAAATTAAACAGGAGGTGTGACTGCTGCGCTGGAGCGTGCTGGCTCCTTCATGAGCTGCGCCAGCACGTACCCAAAGCTCAGCTCTGCACCGTGGCTCTCCACACACCTCTCCCTGTGACCACAGTGCTAAAAAATCCTATGGCTCCAGCTGGGTCAGGGCTGAGGCAGCAACAAGCATGCAGGAAAACGCTGCCCGTAAATTAAAAGCAGAATGTAGCCACAAGCACATTCATTATGGCTTGGCTCGGAGCTCAAACGGGAAGAACAGGACTGCTGAAGTGTCAGGCAAGGTGGTGTGGGCTTGCTCTTCTGGGGTCACCAGGGGATGTGCATGCTCTTCGGAGCATCCCTCTGCACACTCCTCCCTGTATGCCAAACCCTGCCCATGTGAACGCAGCAGGGCAGGAGCTGCAGCTTGCAGAGCGCATGCAAAACATGTCTCCACAGTGATAAAATGAGTCTGTTCAATAGATCTGAATTAAGGGGGGAGGGGAGGAAGGGGGGCAAAAGTGAAGAGTCCAGTATGCCGGTTTAGCCCCTAGGTAAGGGGATGGATTCACAGGCTCTGCACCGATCCACAGGTAGGCAGAGACCCATCCCATGCAGCTTGCTGCAAAATCTGGCTTGCTACTTCAAGGTATGAGCTGGTCTTCTCTAAGTGAGGCAACTTAAACCCGTGTCGTGTGGCAATGGCATAAAGATGCTGCTCACTTACCTCTCCATAGGCTTCATGTTTCTGCAAAGGAGAAAACAGGATGAACAGAGTCAGTTAAGGTGATCAGCCCCAAGAGAAGAATAGCATCACCCCCTTGGAGGTGTGTGTGACGGGAAGGGAGAGGAGGTGGTAAAGGTCCCACAGCTTTAAAGACATTCTCAGCAGAGCCCATGATTAACAGGGCCTCACAGTGGGGCCTCAAAGACTGTGCTGATGGTGAGCACGTGTCTCCGTGCTGCAAACAATTCCACGTGCCCCTGGATGAGGAGCAGGCTGGGGTATGGGTCTGGCCTTGGTCAGGAGCCAGGACTCGGGTGAGAGCCTGCCCAGACAAGCTGGGGGACACAGGCACAAACCAAGGAGTCCTGGTTAAGTACCTAACCAGAGAAATTAGAGATGCTCGAGACTCCGTTTGGCCCCTAAGTGCTGAAACGACACGGAAAAGGAAGAACAGCACCCCCAACATGTGCTTCTTTTCCTCCCTGCCCTGTTTTACTGCCTGTACCTCAGGCGGCACTCCGTACCATGGCTTGGATTATCCTGTCGATGGTGTTCACATCGATGTCCAGGGTGTCTTTCTGCGTGATGGCGTAGTTGTTGCGGTACAGCTCATGCGGCAGGTTGGCGATCTCCCGCAGTCCCTGCTCGTAAACGTTCTCGCTGGGGGCCACTGCGAAGAGCTTGATCCCCATGTCTCGTGCCCTCTCAGCCTGCATCTTCATCCCCCCACAGGGGCTGCCAGTGACATGGCCATCGGTGATGACTACCGCGAAGTTCACGCCGGAGGCCATCTGGGTCTGGATCTGCTCTGTCATGTTGGAGATGGCGCAGTCCGTGAAGGTGCCCCGGCCAAGGTAGTTAATAGCATACAGCCTGGGGAGGTATATGTCCTTGCTGCTTGTTAAAGGGCTGTAAATTTCCACCACATCCGAGTAATGAAGTCCACCAAACTGCCAAGTGATGTAGACTTGGTTCTGGTAGAGCTCATTCTCCAGTTTATCTATGAACACAGGGATGAACCGCTTTATTTGATCCACAAGGCTCTGGATAGGCACAGTCTGCAGAGCAACACTCTCCGAGGTGTCAATGATGAAGTAGACGTTGATGGGGCAGTTCCTCTTTTCTGCATGGAGACAATTATTCGGACTATGTCAGAGCATGTCATGCACCACTGCACCCCTCTCCCTGTCCCCCAGAAACCTGGACCGAGAAGTATATATAGCTAGCACATAGAGCTGTGAAGAGAGCAAACCACAGCACGAGGCTTGAGGTTCAGCTTCCTGTGAGGGTGTTGCAGCTCTTATTGATCAGTTGCTATTTCCACGGGGGTTGGAGGAACTGAGGAGACTGAGGACTAAGTGCTGGGTTTGAATAAAGAAGAGCACAGGTATGACATTTGCTCTCCTGCACTAACAAATGTCCTGCCTGCAAGGCTGCTTGTTGCTCTCTGGTTTATAAACATTTTCAAAAAGATTGTGCCCAAGCGTGATACTGGAAAAAGCACAAGTCCCACTTAGCTCTAGCAGTGACATATGTGTTTGGATCAGATGACTCCCCAGGACTTCAAAATCCTAAGGCCTGCTCACTAGTGAATCAATCTTGCCATTTTTCGTAAAAGTCAGGCTGGACACATAAATCACTTCCTTCACATTGCAACTGAAAAGCATTGAAATCATCAAATTCAAACCGGACTGCTCTCTGACATCACATGAAGAACTGAGCTCTGGAGACCGACTGGTATTTATTACTGCGTCAGCTGGGACAAGCCACCACTGGCAGACCCCAGTTCTTCAATCTCTACCTCTGCACTGCAATGCAAACCCAGAAATGGGAGTTTTGGTGAAGGGTGGCATTCCCTAAAGATGGATCACTACCCCAGGGCACTACCCAGGAGTGCAAAGAGACAGAAGAGGTATAATGTGCCACTGTTAGCTCCTTGTACACGTGCTCTACAGCTGAGCATGGTCATTGCTTTTGGTGAAATTACTGCCTACAAAGGAGAGAGACACCCAAATTATCTGATTAATACCTGCACAGGAGGTAGTAGTGACATCTACAGGATCCCCATCAAACTGAGCATGGAGGGGAACTAGAGCCACACAAAGGAGAGTGGAAAAAAAGGCTTCTCGGAACATCTCAGCAGTTCCTCTGGATATTTAGATGCCTGTGGGAAAACACAAGTTACATGTTAAGCATGATATACAACCTCCTAGCTCTGCTGGGAGGATACAAAGCCAGACAATGCTCTTTGCAAACCCTGTGTGTGGAAAACAGGAGCTCTCCATCACCGTGATGCATCACTGAGCCACTGATGCAGATATACTGACTTGAAAGCAGAGCAATTAGAATATTTCCTTTGTTGGAAATGGGCAAATTTGCCTATGGGCAAATGACATAAAAGTGCCTTAGCTTCTCTGCCAGTCTGAAGGGTGGGATCAGGTGGTGGAGCTACTGACAGTGTGTCAGGATCTTCTGATTTCGTAGTTTCTCCCCAGGTGTGTGTGTGTCTGCTCCATAACCACACTGACTCCATCACCCCCATCCATGCAGATGTAAGCATCCATGCTCCTTTCTCCACCTGCTTAGCCAGACCACCAGTGAAGGCATGCAGCAGGTCCTTTCCACTTCCAACTCACCATGCTGATGATGCTTGCGTATACTGAAAATGTACAAAATCCTGTGCTTAACAGCACCGCTTTGTAGGCTTCACAACCCATGGAATGAAGGGATGAATAAACATGCACTTGAAGAAATGCACTTCTGCATTCAACCCACCACTGGGCCTCCGAGATCCAGCGGCACATGGGAGTATATTTTGTGTAGGGTTATGATAACCTAAGCAGCAAGAGAGTTAGAGATCGAGTCTGAAAAGTTCTTGGGAATGTGTGTGCAGAGCAACCCCAGCTTTGAAAGGATATTCACAGACAATACCCAAGTGGCACTTATCAACAGTAAAGAATATGGAGGAAGAGGTGATGCTTGCCTTTATGTCTAGAGGACAATCGCGCTAATCACCGTGGCCCCTTGATGGCACACACACCACGTAGTAGCATAAACACTTTCCTGCTTGGTGGTCAACACAACGCAAACCAAAAAGCTGCATGTGTGATCTCTGTCAGGAAAAGAAGGCCAGAGACCAGTCCAGAAAGACAACTTCTTCCTTAAATGGCTTTTTTCAGGTAGGTCTTGGAAAAGCCCAGGGCTTGAAGAGACACTGAGAGCGCATTTGGTTACACCAGCCATGCAAGGGGAGGGCAGGTTAGTAATGCAGCTGCACTGCTGCCTTAATTGATGAGAAATGGCATTAACTGAGGAATACAGCCAGCTCAGCTCTCCCTGCAACTCTCTAGAGACCTCTCCCCACATTGTGACTGTTCCCTGGTGGGACATGTCTCATTCCAGTTTGCACTGCAAGCTGCAGCCCATCACAAACTGGTTTATGCTGGCAAGGCTGGTTCCTGTCAGTGCTGACATTACCCTTACACCAGTGACAGCCTTCCTCCTTGCTGAGGCTTATGCACATGCTAACAAGCCTGCGAGAGACACTGCACAGCCCGGCTTTTAGATAGGGGAAGGAGAAACCCTCATGCTCTTTGGAGATTCTCCTGGGGCAAGGGGACAAGATGTGAGGAGATCCAAGAACACCAACTTGAGGTGCTTCACAGACATGGCTCAGCAAAGCCCTCTCCTGTGCCTCAGCTCAGCACCCAAATATCCCTTCCAAGTAGTTCATGGGTCCTTTTCCCCCCCTCCAGCTCACAAAGGCTGCACAGCTGTTTGCAAAGACACCTGGCTATGGCCTTATAAAGCCCATGCATAGGTAAGTGTGGCTCACTTTTCACTGTGTTCACAGGTTTCGTAAGGATAAAATACTTACTTTAATACTTAAGGGGTATTTCAGTTAAGATCAAGCTTTCCTTCCTCTAGCCTTATCACAGGCATCCCTCTTCCAACCCTAACCATTCTATGATTCTATGATTCTTGCTTGCACTCGGCAAAGCAGAGCTGCAGGAGGCTCTGAAAGGCACAACAGCTTTGTGCCTCCAGACAGCACCTTTTTAGAGCCAGTCTTTCAGGATGGCTGAGGAAGCTGGAGACATCAGCTTTTGGAGAGGCTGGGAGCACTGTAGGCTTGGGCCAAATGCCTGACTCACAGATCATGGTGTCCTGAGTTTAACTACCTCCCTCCCTCCTGCCATGTGTGCGTGGGTTGAAGAACCTCAGTGCAGAAGAGCTGCTCTTCAGGCAGAGCTGCGAGGAGCAGTTAAACAGCACAGGCATCCAGGGCCAGCACTGGCACAGGACTACCACTGCCCGTAGCCCAAGTGGTTTTGTGCTGGACCATGGCCTTTGTCTCTACAAGGCGAAGCAGAGATGTGACTGCTAAAAAAATTAGGTAAACTTCACTTCTTCATGGTCCTGTTGCAGTCTCCTTTATTTCACTCTGTCACAGGCACTGTCTGTCTCAGAGATCTCTCTGCTTCAGGCTACGTTACCCTTCTGCTACACCAGCATCCCACCTGGTCACTAACAGTGAATGTGCACCTAAGGGGGAGCCCACTCTCCCACCTAAGGGGTCTCCAAGGCTGGGGTGGGTGACAGTGCCTATTTTGTCATCCTCAGAGCACTACTGGCTGTTGTGATTCTCTCACAAATCTTGTAACATTCGATATTTTCCTTAAAGCTCCACCTCCTGCTGTGAAATGCCCAAATGGAAATCTCAGATTTCACAGCAAAAGGGTACGTTTCAGACTAATGCACTTTCTGGATGTTGAAGACAATTTTTGAACACTGACAGTCCAGAAAACTAATGGAAAGAGCAAATTGGGAGCTGACTCATTGCATCTGAATACTTGGCTCTGCCCATCCTGTTCTTCCTTGACCTTTTCTGCAAGAGCAGGATCATGATATTATAGGAGCAAGGCCTTACAAGGATTTCTCTTGAAATTTCCTTTTTTCAGTATTTTTACTGTTGAGTGATGCATCTCTTTGCCCATGAGATGCACACAAACTAAAAAAAAAGAACAACCAACAGGGAATCTCGATGGCGTTTGAGTTCCCTGAACAGATTTTGAGGGCACTGCTTTGCACCATCCTCCCTGCATTAAGGTCTGTGCTCCTACCTAATGCCTCAGGTGCTCAGCAGAAAAACGCCCTCTGCGGCTCCCACACTCGGATCCCACTTAATTGCAAAAGCATATGGAGTTATCTACACACAGATAACTCTGGTCTTGCAGGAGGACCCAAGTTCTCTGCTTGTGGGCACCTCTTTCCAGCCCAAGCAACTGAACCAGATTTAACATCACGGCAAATAAATGACCTGCAATGATTTTTTCAAATGTGCAAATTACAGGTGGCTTGTTTGCGCTCTCACATCTGACTAGATCAGGTTCTAATGCACTAGAAAGGTCACCTCCCATGCCTGGCCAGGCAGAGCCGTGGTCTGTCTTATCTCACACGCTGCTATTTCTGAAGTTCCTCCTGTTGCACTCTGTATTCCTCCTCCAATAACACCACACCTATTATAGCTGAGCAAATTTTTCCCAAACTTAGAAAAATTCAGGTGCTCGGTGCTCTAAGCTAACTCTGCCTGCCAGGAACTTATTTAAGGCCATGAAAATCCCATTACTTTCAAGAAAGAATTATCCTAGCTATGTCTTATGCAGAATAAAGTTGAAACTGCACTGCTGCTCTAACATGGACCCACTCCCAACTTTTTTCACGGCCATGCCCAGTGGGCAGTGCCTGTGGTGCCCACCCCCTTGTGCAGGCAGCATTTTACTCCACTCAAATGCTTGCTAAATGAAATAAAACCAGGGGGTGAAAGAGAAACGTCCTATTTGGAACAAAAGCTCTTACAAGCGCACCTCCTCTTCCTCGTTTTCATATGGTGTGCGGAGGGAATTTCAATGTTTGTTGCCATCACTACCCAAACGTGCCCTTGTAGTTTTAGACCCTGGGTACACTACCCAGGAGGAAGGGAGCCCAGCTCTTCCCCAGCTCCCCTAGTGCAACTATCCTGGGACATCAGCCAGGGAAAGCCCAGGCCGCGGGACTGCGCCTGTCCCAAATGCCGTTTTCAGCGCTCCTGCAGACCCCTGCCACCAAAAAAAAATAGCTGACCCAAGGGGGCAAGCCTCACAGGCCTTTCCAAATATGCTCTTAGTCCCCAAAATAGAAGAGTTTGTGCTGACGAAACTCAGTATCACGAGGAGACACGAATCCGTATCTTCTAACCCGTATTTTCCCAACTCCTGCAAATTGATTAGCATCCGTGATTAGCAGTGGAGTGTGGTGCTGCTGCCACTGCTCCAGTGCAGCTGGTGAAACAACTCAGCTGCCCCAGGGAAGAATTTGGTCCCCCTGCCCTCCCGCCCCCACCCCGGGATTTTCTAGGTCTCTGGCCCTAGCAGATCAGTGTCTGTGGCTCACACTGCCAGCACCTGGGAAAAATTCTTGGAAAAACGCCTGAACTAGCCAAAAGCCGAAAGGCACAGAAAAACGTCTATTGCCTTAGAGCGGGCACTGCCGAAACACGACGAGCCTGGAGGGAGCAGCTTGCTGGGAGCCCGTGGGCAGCGGGAGCAACTGGGATTTCAGAGCCGGCTCTGCCATTCCCACCTGGAGAACTCCCAGTAAGCTGCCGCCCGACCGCTATACATGGAGAGGAAAACTCTGCCTACCTGGAAAACGAGGTCATCAACACTTCCACCCGAAAAAGCCACGAAATGCCAGGAAAAGGGCAGAATCAGGAAGGTTCCCGCATCTCCGGCTGGAGGGTGCGCTGCCGGGGGTGCGTGGGGATGCGCGGCCGGGAGCAGCGGAGCCGTCTCCAGCCCCGTCCCTCTATTCCTCCGCAGGCGGGACCTGCCCTCTACATCCCTCCTCCTTCCACAGCGGCAGAGCCTCCTCTGCAGTAGCTCCAGGCCTCCACGGAGGGTCACTGTGGGTCTACCGACCCCTCGGGGCGGTCCTCTCCCACCAGCTCCCCGCCCAGGGCACATGCTGCGCCGGGGCGAGGTTGTCATCCTTGGAGCTGAAGGCATTTTTTGGTTTCAGCAAGCTGGACGAAGTCTCATTTTTCCATGATGAGAGGCCCCTTTTCGTGGTTGGCATTGCCGCCCCACATATTTATACCATCAAACAGTGTTTCTTCCACCTCCCTGTCCGCCTCTTCTTCCCATCCTAGTAACGTGTCCTGAGTGGAACAAATAAGAACATTTCAAAAAAGAGCAACTTACATCTTAGCCTTTGCAAATACCCAAGTCTTGCTCAGAGTCATCCAAGTCTGAGTATTACCTCTTTCCTATTGATTCATTTCTGGCTTTGGGGTTTTTTGTTGTTGGATTGGGGGTTTATTTTTAATTTATTTTTAATTTCACAGGCAATTTTTAGCTCTGCTAAATGAAAAATAGGAGCAAATGTCCCCAAAAAAATATGGAGAACAGCAGTGACTTTCAGGAACGTGGCCTGTTGTCCCTTGAGCTATGACTTTCTGTCTCTGAACTTCTGTGCAATTGGACGAAGTGAAGGGACCAGAATCACACCACAGCTGCCAGACAAGGTAATCGCAAAGAGGAAGCCCAATTTTACTCTCATTTCACTCTGCTGACTCCCAAGTAGTGACAAAACAGAAGGATTTGTCTGAAGAGAGCTCAGAGTCAGCTGCTATCCCACTAGTCCTGCTCTACAGGAACATGTAGCTCAGGCTGTTTGTGAAAAAACCCTGAACTGCCAGGTAAAAATAATAAACCCAATTCTCTGTAGCTACTAGTGCCTAAAAAAGGTATATTTCTGGCCTATG